TAGAATCCTAGGTTGGCAGGGTTTTTTGTTTGTTTGTTTTGCTTTGTTTAGCACAATTAAAATATTATTCCATGGGATTTTTGTTTCCTGTAGAAGTCTATAACTGTTGGTCTTTTAAATAAAAAGTCCATTGGCTGCTTTTGAGATTTTGTTTTTGTGTGTGGTGTTCGATAGTTTGAGTACCATATGTTTTGTGTAGATTTTATTTCATTTATCCTTCTAGCAATCAGGTTTCTTGAATCTGTGCATTGGTGTTTTTTTTTTCAGTTGTGCAAATCCTCAGCTATTTTCTCTGTAAATAGCTACCCCCATTTTGTCTCATGTCTCTTTCTCTATCAGAACATCTTATTATATCTTTCATGTTTCTTAACTTCTCATTCATATTTTACATCTTTTTGTCTCCCTGTGCTACATTCTGGATAATTTCTCGTGATTTATCTTCTGTTTCCTGGTTAACTAATTATTCCTCAATCTGTGTCCAACCTGCTACCATTTATGTCCACTGAATTTTAAATTTCAGATACTGAGTTTTTCTTTTTTTTTTTTTTTTTTGAGATGGAGTCTCGCTGTGTCGCCCAGGCTGGGGTGCAGTGGCGCGATCTCGGCTCACTGCAAGCTCCGCCTCCTGGGTTCACGCCATTCTCCTGCCTCAGCCTCCGAGTAGCCGGGACTACAGGCGCTCGCCACCACGCCCGGCTAGTTTTTTGTATTTTTAGTAGAGACGGGGTTTCACCATGTTAGCCAGGGATGGTCTCGATCTCCTGACCTCGTGATCCGCCCGCCTCGGCCTCCCAAAGTGCTGGGATTACAGGCTTGAGCCACCGCGCCCGGCGAGTTCCGATTCTCTCGCCCTCGGCCTCCCAAAGTGCTGGGATTACAGGCTTGAGCCACCGCGCCCGGCCGAGTTTTTCATCTTTAGAAATTCTATTTGGTTGTTTTTCAAATCAGCTAGTGATGGCAGAGGCTGCTGCCATCACTCCGGCTGTCACTCCAACTGCAGCAAAGAGGCGCGGCTGGGGCTGCACACTCCATGGAGCCGGTGGAAGCCCGGCCCCTTCTGAGTTAAGGCGGGAGCTCCCCGGGTGCTACTGCAGCCGCCCACACCACAGCCGTAGACCCCGCCTCCGGCTGTACGCGGCAGGCAGGAGCCCCGCCCTCTTCGGCGGGCGGCGGCTGACCAAACTGTGGCTGTGGATCCAAGCCTCCCTGTGCTCTTGGAGGAGGGCCGGGAATAGGCAGGATCTGCCCTCCCAGGTGCAGCTGCAGCTGCCAGGACCCACGGCTGCAGACCTGGGTCTCCCACTTCACTGAGCAGGCAGGAGCCAAGGACTAATAGGAGCTCCCAGGTGCAGCTGCGGCTGCCCTCCCAGGTGCAAGACCCGGGCGTCTCTGCAGCCTGCACCCTCGGGGGCCCCAGAAGGACCCGCTCCCCGGCCTCCTCCCATCCCTGCAGGCTCCGGAATGTCTGCTCCCGCTGCCTGGTCTCTCTCCAATCCCGGCACCTATTCAAATCTCGGAGCCGGATTGGGGCAGACCCTTGAGGGGCCACGAATGGCAGCGGGAGGCATACTGATTCCTGGGTGGAAGAGGGCGGGTCCTCAGTAAGGCCCCACTGCAGGCCAGGGAGAGCCTGAAGGCTGGGGCCAGGCCGCCAGTCCTGCAGACCTGAGTGGGAACTCGTGGTACCTCTTCCAGCCTGCCCATGGCCGCCCATGGACCAATCTGCATGCACTTCCTCCCCTCTGAGGTCCATGAAAGACCTGGGCTTAGCCAGAGCAGGGCAGAGGATGGCTAGAGGATGAAGAGGGCAGAGAGATGATAGGACGACCAGCTGCAAAGAGGAGCTATCCTCTCTGCTGATAGCAGGAGACAATGGGAGGACCAGCTACAGAGAGGAACTACCCTCTCTTCTGAGAGCATCAGAGACCTGCAGAGACGTCAGGACTATCAGCTGCATAGAGGAGCAACCCTCTCCAGGGCCTTCTCCCTGCTGAGAGCAGCAGATATTGGCATGACTTGCCTACAGAGAGGAGCTACCCACTGCGAGTCTCCTTTGAGCTGATGAGCACTTAAAGCTCATCTTCATCTTGTTTACCCTTCTCTTGTCTGTGTACCTCATCTTGGACACAGAACAAGAACTCAGGCAAAGGTGCCTCTGGCCACAGAGGTTTCTAGCCTTTTTGAGGGACTTCTCAAAAAAAAAAAAAAAAAAAAAAAAAATTCCACTTACATGACATAACCAGAGTAGTCGAATTAATAGAAACAGAAAGTAGAATGATAAGTTTCCAGGAGCTGGGGCAGGGGGAAATGGGAATTTGTTGCTTAATGGGTGTACAGTTTCAGTTTTGCAAGATGGAAGAGTTCTAGAGATTGTTTGTACAACAAAATGAATATACTTAACACTACTAAACTGTCTACTTAAAAATGGTTAAGACATAAAATGTTATCTCGTGTATATTATATATCTGTGTATTATATGTGCATGAATTACACTACAATAAAAGTAAAACAAAAATTTTAAATAATGCAAAAATATAGTAACCATAGTTGTTTTATGATCAGATACTACTGCAGTTCCGTTTTGCTATCTGTTGTTTCAGCTGGTTCTCACAATGCCTTGTTCCTTACGTGCTTGGTTATTTTTCACTATATACTTGTCCTTGTCCCTGAAAAACTGCTGATGAAAATTCATGGAGAATGAAGACCAGCATAAAAGTACAATCCTCCAGAGAGGGTTTGAATTTGCTTCTGCCAGACACTTAGACACACTTTCAGTTTAGGACTACTTTAAACTAGATTTATAACTTAAAGTTACAAAAAAATTCTTCATGTAATATGGACTATAAATCTACCAAAAAAAAAAAAAAAAGGCCAGTTATGATTACAATGTCTCAAGGAGAGTTTTCTCCCTACCTGCTCAGTGTAGTTAACAAGCCAACTTTTCTTGGAGTTTCCTGGCAGAAAGATGTAGGGGAGGTTTACTTCTGATTCACCTTTCCCCAAATCGTAGGCCTCTGGGGATGCTCACAACTAATACAGGAAAGACTCCTCACCTTGGTGGACCCTGAGCTTTGATTTCATTCTTCTTTACCCTGCATTGCTGTCATAATGAAATCCAAGTTTGCCTAGATTGGCAAATAACCTCAGAGCAAAATTTACTTCCTTCCACTTGGGCAGCACTTCTATACTTTATATTTTTAAACTATTTTATCCAGCATTTTAAGTTGCTTTTTAGCAACATGTCAGCCCAAATAACCAACCAGTCAGAAGTCCCTCTACTTTATTTCCTGTTTCATTGACTTATGCTTTTCTATTTATTTTCTTCCTCCTACTTTTGTATTGTTGTTATTTTCCCTCTAACTTCTTGAGTTGAATACTTAGCTCATTATTGCATTTTCTTTTCTATTATAAGGCTAGTCTACCTTAAGGCTCTAAATTTCCCTTACAGTATACATCTTTCATTGTAATCCATATTTTGATATGTAGTAGAGAAGCGATTGCCCGAAGCCAGTTGGCGTCCACCTGTTTTTATCATCTCCACCCAACAGGGTTCTTGTGCTGCCCTGGTTATATTCTGAAACATCTGCACTCAGGTCTGAACGAGTACAGGCAATTTTCACCATCTGGGCAGCAATGGTAGCCCAAGGCAATGCTAGGAGAATTAACAGCATAATTTTTTTTCTTTTTTCTTTTTTTTATATTTTTGAGACGGAGTCTTGCTCTGTGGCCCAGGCTGAAGTGCAGTGGCGCGATCTCAGCTCACTGCAAGCTCCGCCTCCTGGGTTCATGCCATTCTCCTGCCTCAGCCTCCGAGTAGCTGGGACTACAGGCGCGCACCACCACGCCCAGCTAATTTTTTGCATTTTTAGTAGAGACGGGGTTTCACCGTGTTAGCCAGGATGGTCTCAATCTCCTGACCTCGTGATCTGCCCGCCTCGGCCTCCCAAAGTGCTGGGATTACAGGCGTAAGCCACCACACCCAGCTTCTTTTTTTGATACAGGGTCTTGCTCTGTCACCCAGGCTGGAGTGCAGTGGCACGATCTCAGCTCACTGTAGCCTTGACTTCCTGGGCTCAAGTGATCCTCCTACCTCAGCCTCCCAAGTAGCTAAAACTATAGGCATGCACCATCACACCTGACTAATTTTTGTAGAGATGGGGTTTTACCATGTTTCCCAGGCTGGTCTTGAAATGCTGGACTCAAGCAGTCTTCACACCTCAGCCTCCCAAAGTGCTGGGATTACAGGCATGAGCCACTGTGCCTAGCTAAGAGCATAATTTAAGCCATCTTTTTCTAACTCAGCTTTTTCCAACACTGGCTACCTATGAAAATTAGTAGGAAGTTTTGAAAAATACTGCTGCCTGGGTCCCAACAAGAGAATGTTGTGATTGGTCTGGGGTGGGGCCTGGACTTGAGTACTTTTTGGTGATTCTAAGGTGAATCCAGGGTTGAGAACCACTGCTGTAATTTTTTTTTTTTTTTTTTTTTTTTTGAGACAGAGTCTTGCTCTGTCGCCCAAGCTGGAGTGCAGTGGCGCGATCTCGGCTCACTGCAAGTCCGCCTCCCGGGTTCACGCCATTCTCTTGCCTCAGCCTCCTGAGTAGCTGGAACTACAGGCGCCCGCCACCGCGCCCAGCTAATTTTTTGTATTTTTAGTAGAGACGGGGTTTCACCGTGTTAGCCAGGATGGTCTCGATCTCCTGACCTCGTGATCCGCCCGTCTCGGCCTCCCAAAGTGCTGGGATTACAGGCGTGAGCCACCGCGCCCGGCCCCACTGCTGTAATTTTATTTGGTCATTGCCACCGACTTGACTGAATCCTCTCTCTTCCCCACCCCCAATCCATTTTAAACAGCCTCTGTCTTCCCAAGACTATAGTTTCTTGGTTTTCATATTGCTGTCTATGTTTCTCCAAGGTGGACTGGGAAAGGAGGCAGAACCCTGGTAATTTACCATGTTGGCAGGAACTAGAATTCCCCCTCATGTTGTCTGTCTTCACAGGAGGTCTCGGCGTGAAACAGCAGCAGTGGTGTGGGATGACTGCCAAAATGGGCACCGTGTTGGCAGGGGTCTTCACCATCATGGCCGTACACATGTATCTCATCTTTGAACATAGTCACCTAGGGCATGGCAATTGCAGTGAGATCGCACTAAAGTACGAGAGTGCAAGTGGCATCATAAATGACTTCATCATCTGCTGGAGTTTTAAAATCGTCCTCTTCCTCTCTTTCATCACCATCCTCATCAGCTGCTTCCTCCTGTACTCAGTGTATGCCCAGATCTTCAGGGGCCTGGTCATCTACGTTGCCTGGATTTTTTTCTATGAAACCGTAAACGTCGTAATACAAATCCTCACCAATGACGACTTCAGCGTTACAGAGGTCAGAATCATGCGCTGGTTTGGCTTGGTGTCTCGTACCATCATGCACTGTTTCTGGATGTTCTTTGTCATCACCTATGCCCACATAACCTACAAAAACCAGAGCCAGGGCAATATAGTTTCCTACAAGAGACGAATTTCTACAGCGGAGGCTCTCCACAGCAGAAATAAAAGATTATCAGTTTTGGGTGGGCTCAGTGGCTCATACCTGGAATCCCAGCGCTTTGGAAGGCAGAGGTAGGTGGATCGCCTGAGGTCAGGAGTTCAAGACCAGCCTGGCCAATATGGCAAAACCCCGTCTCTACTTTAAAAAGTAGAAAATTATCCAGGTGTGGCAGCACACGCCTGTAATCCCAGCTACTTGGGAGGCTGAGACTGGAGAATCACTTGACCTGGGAGGTGGAGGTTGCAGTGAGCCGAGATCACACCACTGCACTTCAGCCTGGGTGACAGAGCAAGACTCTGTCTAAAAAAAAAAAAAAATTAGCAGCTTTATTCACCACTATAAGCAATCATGTTGGCCCTTTTCTTTCCCCTGAGAGGTAGGTATCTCAGGTTCCTGGCGTAGTTCTATTTCCTTTTCTTCCCCCTACTTTTGCTTAGCAGTTCCGCAAGTAGAAACCCTACTGCCACTCTTTCAGGAGAACATGGAGAGAAAATGTGATTATAATCACAACTTGAACATCCTGCTCATTGAGGGTATTTAGTTAAAGGATATTGTGATTTATCAAACCTTCTTCTGTGAACTCCACCTTTCTACCACCTGATGGGTCAAAATGAACGGAATAAGATGAAGCTGAATTGCAGTATGGCAATCCTTTTTTCTTGGCATCTTCATTAGCCTTCAACCCACAGCTCTTTAACCCTGGGATAAGCAAATCTGTATTTATACCTCAGATTTTTGTAGCACAAAGGATGTTGTTGGTCCTGGGGTGGGTTTGTGCTATGATTTCCCCACTATTCTTCTGTTTTTTTCCAGATAAGAAAAATAATAAAAATAGAGAAAATTCGTCTGTCTTGAATTTCCCCACCCTTCCCAAATTTGTCAAGGAGTGTGAAAGGCACTTCCTTAATCAAAAGATATATGTTAAACATATTTCTGTATCTGTCGCTGTGCTGTACTCTGTAGTGTGAACACTGTACTGAACATTGTGTATACACCATATACAAAAATGTATAAGATATGAATGACTATGAGAATTTTGTAGTTTAGTGGAAGAAAGTAAATTATTGTTTATGAATCAATTAGCCAATCATATAAGAGAGTATATGATTACATACTATCACAAATAAACAGATATCACTTTGCATTCAGGTTCAGAGACTGTCCAAAGCACGTTTTTTATTTTTGAGACCGAGTCTCGCTCTGTAGCCCAGGCTGGAGTGCAATGGTGCGACCTCGGCTCAGTGCAACCCCTGCCTCCTGGGTTTAAGCGATTCTCCAGCTTCAGCCTCCCGAGTAGCTGGGATTACTGGCACAGGCCACCACGCCCAGCTAATTTTTGTATTTTTAGTAGAGGCGGGGTTTCACCATGTTGGTCAGGCTGGTCTTGAACTCCTGACCTTAGATGATCCACCTGCCTCAGCCTCCCAAAGTGCTGGGAGTACAGGCGTGAGTCACCCACTGCTGCTATAGTAACTGAGTAATTTATAAAGAGCTGAGATTTATTTTCTCATACTTTTGGAGGCTAGAAGTTCAATACCAAGGTGCCAATAGGTTTGGTGTCTGGTAAGGGCCTGCTCTCTCTGCTTCCAAATGGTGCCTTGTTTCTGTGTCCTCCAGAGGGCACAAACACTGTCCTTACATGGCAGAAGGGATGGAGAGGCAAAATAAACTAGCTAGTTCCCTCCTGCCCCTTTATAAGGTCACTTATTCCATTCATGAGAGCTCTGCTCTTATGATTTAATCATCTCCTAAAGGCCCCATCTTTTAATGCTGTTGCATTAGGGAATAAGTTTCAACATGAATTTTGGAAGGCACAAACACTCAAACCATAGTACTCACCATTTGCCAAGCTGTACTCATCATTGTCTTCCCCGCTCCCATCCTAAGTGCTCTCCTGCCCCTGTGCTCCTCACTTCAGAGGATGGGCTGTCCTCCATCCAGGTGCTCATCCCAGACTCCTTTTCCCACAGCCCCAGGCCCCAAATCTGTGCCCCAACATCCATCTGCTGCCTTACTTCACCTTATTTCCTTCCATGGCCTCTCAACTACTCTGTCTACCTCCACCTTTGATCCCTTTCTGACCCATGGCCCTCATAGCACCAAGAAAGATTTTTCTGAAATGCAAATAGGGCCAGGCGCAGGGGCTCACGTCTGTAATCCCAATACTTTTGGAGGCCAAAGCGGGTGGATCTCTTGAGGTCAGGAGTTCAAGACGAAGCTGGCCAACATGATGAGACTCCTTCTCTACTAAAACTACCAAAATTAGGCAGGTATGGTGACGGGCACCTGTAATCCCAGCTACTCGGGAGGCTGAGGCAGGAGAATCGCTTGAACTTGGGAGATGGAGGTTGCAGTGAGCCATAATTGCGCCACTACACTCCAACCTGGGCAACAGAGTGAGACTTTGTTTCAAAAATAAATAAATAAATAAAATGCAAATCTGATTATGTCTGTCTGTCTCTCTCTCTCTCTCTCTCTCACACACACACACACACACCCCCACACACCTACACACCCTGAAGAACCTCTCCTTTACCTTTCAGAGAAACATCCACATGGCTGGTAGCAGGTAAGGATCATTCCTCATCTGGCCTCTGCCAACCTACACAGCCTTCCCCTCTGCTCAAGCTAAGCCAAACTTGCTGTTTCCAAAATGGCTTTTGCCTGTCCCTGTGCCTACCCCTTTGTGTTGTCCCCTTTGCTTGGGGTGAAGTCCCTCCTTTTTCTGCCTAGTTAATGCCCGTGTCTTTTAAGACCCAAGCTCAGCTATTGCCTACTCCAGAAAGCTTCCCCGATTTTCATCCAATGATTTTCATCTCTCTCATTGTTACATCTTGACAACACTGAGCCATCTCTTCCTCTATCGCATTTATCACATTGCACTATAAGTTTTCTTTTTTCTTTTTTTAGATGGAGTCTCACTCTGTAGCTCAGGCTGGAGTGCAGTGGTGTGATATCAGCTCCCTGCAACTTCTGCCTCCCGGGTCCTGGTTAAGCAATTATTCTGCCTCAGCCTCCCAAGTAGTTGGCGCGTGCCACCACGCCCAGCTAATTTTGGTATTTTTAGTACACATGAGGTTTCACCATGTTGGCTAGGCTGGTCTTGAACTCCTGACCTCGTGATCCGCCTGCCTCATGTTTTCTTTTTTATTAAAAGCAATTTTTAGTCATTTGTTTTTTTATTTGTCTAACTTCCACACTAGCATATTTACCTGCTTATCTCCAGTGCCAAGCTCATCCCCCAGCACCTAGTAGATACACAATAGATGTTTGCTGAGTGAGTGTTGAATGAATAGAAGGTACCAGAAGACCTTGGCCAGTGGCAGAAAGAGAAGTTAGGCCATTATTATAGTGACTCAGGAGAGAGGTGCCAAGGGTGGAGACCAAGGCTGGGACAGCAGAGCTGTGGAACCAGTGGGGTTTATATAGACATTTCCTTGAAACTTGCAACATAAAGCAAACGAGTAAAACTGTGTGGTTCAGGGCCGTATTTTTAGATGATTCAGGTGAGTACCCCATGGGTAGTGGCTGCTCTGGAGGCTGCCCTGTGAACTGAGCAGAGGTGAGGTTTCATTGGTGCAGACAGGGAAGTATGAGTGCAGCCATCCACCAGACAACACATTGCCTCCCTCCTGGGCCCTCCAGCCAGGTTCTAGAGTGCACTGAGAGTTTTGTGTATCAGGAGTCACACAGGGTTGGGAGGATGGTGGGGAATAAAATATAAGGATATTTGGGATGAATCTGGAAAACCTGATGCTAAGTGAAGTAAGCCAGATACCAAAGGACAAATGCTGTATGATTCCGTTTATATGAGACACCTAGAGCAGGCATATTTATAGAGACAGCAAGAAAAATGGTTAGTAGGGACTGGGGGAAGAGGGGAACGGGGAGTTGATGTTTATAATGGGTACATAGTTTTTGGTGGGGATGATGAAAAAGTGCTGGAGATGGCCGGGCATGGTGGCTCATGCCTGTAATCCCAGCACTTTGGGAGGCTGAGGCGGGAGGATCACTTGTGGTCAGGGGTTCAAGACCAGCCTGGCCAACATGGTGAAACCCTGTCTCTGCTAAAAATTCAAAAATTAGCTGGGCATGCTGGTGCATGCTTGTAACCCCAGCTACTTGGGAGGCTAAGGCAGGAGAATCGCTTGATCCTGGGAGGCAGGGGTTGCAATGATCCAAGATCGTGCCACTGCACTCCAGCCTGGGTGACAGAGCAAGACTCTGTCAAGAGAGGGAGAGAGAGAGAGAGAGAGAACGGAAGTTCTGGAGATGAATAGCGATATGCTTGCACGACAACGTAGTGAATGTACTTAATGTCACTGAATTGCACCTTCAAAAAGGGCTAAAGTGGTGAATTTCACATTCTGTATGTTTTACTGTATTTGGAGTTGATCCAGTGAGTGAAGAGGAGAGGACAGGAGAGAGGCCAGTGGCAGTCTGTCTGTGCTCTGCCTGGCTGGACAGGACCCGTTCTGGTCACCACAGAGAGAGGCCAGGTCAGGCTTCCAACAAGTTATCCCCCATTGGACATTCATCGGCCAGAGGACAGCCCTGTGTTCTCCTCATGTGTGACTGTGCCCCTTCCTTTGCCCCACAACAGAGGTAGCTAGCCAGTGTAGTGAATGAACAGGAGAGAGGTTTGCTCAGCAGTCCTCTGAATTGGGCGCCAGTAAGAAGGAGATACAGGCTGTGGAGGAACATATGCACTGGGGCCCAGCCTACCCCAGCCTTGGGTCCTCCATTATCAACATGCCCTCAAGGGATCAGCTTGGGCACCAGCTTCCTGCTGCCTGCCATGAGTTGACCTCTAGAGCTCAGGTGTAACCTAGGTTGCAGCTGGAGGTCTGCCCACGGGGCCTTCACCTGCACAATGGTCGCTTATTATTAAGGCATTTTGGCCTTGGGCAGAGAAGACAGTAAGGCTTGCCTGGCTCCATAAACCTCTACCCATTCCATGCCTGCTGGCCAAACCCTATGACTTGGGACAAGGCTGGGCCATACCCAGGGAGCAAATCAGGGAAATTTCTAAGGGCTTGGAAGGAAAGAGTCGGGGGGTAGGGGATGTCAGGGTTGATTCCAAGCCCTTGAGGAGCCATGAGAGTTTTCTGACTTCAGAGAAGCAGACTCCCCAGATGGGAGCTTCATTCACAACATCATTATTCCCAATACGTACAAGAGCCTCTGAATTCCCACAAACTTACATCAACAGGAGCACTCTTTTTGCCACTTTAAAACAAAGCTGAAACTGGAATAGCAGAATTGGAAGCTACTGAGGAGAGTCCCAGGCCAGTGATACATTCATTTCCCAATGAGGTGGTCATGTCTAGCTAGTTAGGTCAGAGCAGGGACTAGACCCCATGTCTCTTAACTTCCAGCCTATTGCCTGTCCACACACCATCATTGCTCTTAACTCTCCTATTTATATATAGTGGCTTGGGGGATCTGTCTAAGGCTACCTCTGCCATCTTGTCATGTGTCTTCATGATTTTCTTCCTGCAGGAGGTGCTCTGGTAAAACAAGTATAAAATGAACGTCAGGATGTTGTCCCTCATGGTGGGCATCTTCTCTGTCCTCAATAGCATCCAGTTCTTCATCTTTGACGTGAACCACATGACAAACATTGGCTATGAGGCCAAGTTCCACATCTACATGGACTCAAAGTCAGAGCTAGTCACTTGGATCCTGTCCAACAGGGCTAACATCAGCACTGGCCTCTCCTTCACCACCATCATCATCAGCTGCTTCCTCCTTTATAGTATCCACAAGAATATCTACATGGGGCTGCTGATCTATGCCATGTGGATCATCACTTACGAGTGCATCAAATTCTCCATAGTCCTGGTCCTCAACAGGATCACTGAAGATTTCTTCAAGGAGCTGAGTTACTTGCACTGGATCTTCCAGATCTCGCACATGCTCCTGCACTTTTTCTGTCTGCCCTTCATCGTCAAGCATGCATACAACCTTTACAAGGAATCCCAGACTGTGAGCAGGAAACGCCGCCACATGCTCTCCTCCACCACTGCAGTGAACTCATGACCACCTGTCTGTCTGGGAATGTTGTACCAGAAATTAAACTGAACCATGCCAGGAAAGGTGGGAGGGAATGGTGCTCCTCAACAATGGAATCTCCCCACCCTGCCTGGCTTCTGTTGATGCTGCTTGGTTTGTCAGGGCTTTTGAGTTTTACGCACTGAGGAATGATTCTCGGGAGAGGGCAGGTTGTGCGGATCAATTATTTTACAGATGTGTTGTGTGACTTGTTTTAGCAGTTAATGATATGTGGCCTTGTGCTTACTTAACCATCTCACTGGTGTCTGTTTTTGCCTCTCACAGTCTCCTCTGCTCTGCATATCCTTAGTTTCTAGTTCTTCCTTTATGGATTGGCCCACAGATGCCGGTTCTGCTGAGTCCTTTGGAGCAGTGTTGTCCAATAGAGCTTCCTGTGCTGATGGGAATGTTCTCTATCTGTGCTGGCCACTAGCCATGTGTGGCAACTGAGCACTTGGAATGTGGCTATTACAACCCAGTAACCAAATTTTAAATTTTATTCTTTTTTAGCTAATTTCCATTTCAATAACTATGTATGGATGGCTCAAGACTAGCCTATCCTCCCAGCATGGTGGCTCACGCCTGTAATCCCAGCACTTTGGGAGGCCAAGGCAGGTGGATCACTTGAGGTCAGGAGTTCAAGACCAGACTGGCCAGCACGGTGAAACCCCATCTCTACCAAAAATATAAAAATTAGCCAGGCGTGGTGGTGGGTGCTGGAAATCCCAGCTACTCAGGAGGCTGAGGCAGGAGAATCACTTGAACACAGGAGGCAGAGGTTGCAGTGAGCTGAGGCCACGCCATTGCAGTCCAGCCTGGTTAAGAAGAACGAAACTCCGTCTCAAAAAAGAAAAAAAAAAAGGCCGGGCGCGGTGGCTCAAGCCTGTAATCCCAGCACTTTGGGAGGCCGAGACAGGCGGATCACGAGGTCAGGAGATCGAGACCATCCTGGCTAACACGGTGAAACCCTGTCTCTACTAAAAAATACAAAAAACTAGCCGGGTGAGGTGGCGGGCGCCTGTAGTCCCAGCTACTCGGGAGGCTGAGGCAGGAGAATGGCGTGAACCCGGGAGGCGGAGCTTGCAGTGAGCTGAGATCCGGCCACAGCACTCCAGCCTGGTGACAGAGCGAGACTCCGTCTCAAAAAAAAAAAAAAAAAAAAAAAAAGGCTACCCTATTGGACAGCACAGCCTCTGGAGATTCACTTTACTCCTGCAGTAACCATAGAAAAGACCCCTTTCTAGAATCATGTCTTACCCTGCTTCCCTCATACTTTTCAGAAAGCAATTTCTCATGTTGGTTCATAATAACATGGCAAGAAGGATCCCCATTTAAGATAGTGCCAGGATTTTTCAACTGAAGCACTACTGACATTCTGGACTGGATAATTCTGTCCTGCAGGGGCTGTCCTTTGCACTGTAGAATGTTTAGCAGCATCCTTGGCCTCTACCCACTATTTTCCAGTAGCATCCACCTGTTCCTCATGCTGTCATGACCAAAAATATCTCCAAGGGATTAAGCCCACCCATCCCCTCCTGGGCTGGTGGATTATGTAGTTTTCAAGTCAGATAATAAAACAGGATCAGTTGGGCAAGGTGGCTCATGCCTATAATCCCAGCACTTTGGAGGCCAAGGTGGGTGGATCATTTGAGGTCAGGAGTTCAAGACTAGCCTGGACAACATGGTGAAACCCCGTCTCTACTAAAAATACAAAAATTAGCTGGATTTGGTAGTGCTTATAATCCCAGCTACTCGGGAGGCTGAGGCAGGAGAATGGCTTGAACCCAGGAGGTCGAGGTTGCAGTGAGCTGAGATGGCGCCACTGTACTCCAGCCTGGGCGACAGAGTGAGACTCTATCTCAAAAAACAAAAAACAAAAACAGGGTCGGGCGCGGTGGCTCACGCCTGTAATCCCAGCACTTTGGGAGCCCAAGGCGGGCAGATCACGAAGTCAGGAGATCAAGACTATCCTGGCTAACATGGTGAAATCCCATCTCTATTAAAAATACAAAAAAAGGCCAGGCGCGGTGGCTCACGCCTGTAGTCCCTGCACTTTGGGAGGCCGAGGCGGGCGGATCACGAGGTCAGGAGATCAAGACCATCCTGGCTAACACGGTGAAACCCCGTCTCTACTAAAATACAAAAAATTAGCCGGGCGCGGTGGCGGGCGCCTGTAGTCCCAGCTACTCGGGAGGCTGAGGCAGGAAAATGGCGCCAACCCGGGAGGCGGAGCTTGCAGTGAGCCGAGATGGTGCCACTGCACTCCAGCCTGGGGGACAGAGTGAAGACTCTGCCTCTTAAAAAAAAAAAAAAAAATACAAAAAAAAATTAGCCAGGCGTGGTGGCGGGCACCTGTAGCCCCAGCTACTTGGGAGACTGAGGCAGGAGAATTGTTTGAACCCAGGAGGTGGAGGCTGCGGTGAGCTGAGATGGTGCCACTGCACTCCAGCCTGGGCATCAGAGTGAGACTCCATCTCAAAAAACAAACAAACAAACAAAAACAGGGCTGGGCGCGGCAGCTCATGCCTGTAGTCCCAGCACTTTGAGAGGCCAAGGTGGGTGGATCACGAGGTCAGGAGATCGAGATCATCCTGGCTAACATGATGAAACCCCGTTTCTACTAAAAATACAAAAAAATTAGCTGGGCGTGGTGGCAGGCGCCTGTAGTCCCAGCTTGTTGGGAGGTTGGGGCAGGAGAATGGCGTGAACCTGGGAGGCAGAGCTTGCAGTGAGTGAAGATCACACCACTGCACTCCAGCCTGGGCAACAGAGCGAGACTCCTTGTCAAAAACAAACAAACAAAACAAAAACACAGGACCAACCCTTTGAAAAACAAAAAGAACCCCCAAAAACATCTCCAGGCATTGTCAAACATCCCCTGGGGTGAGGGGGGTCAAAGTTACCCCTAGTTGAGAGACACTATTGTAAAGCAACAGGCCCCCCGTGTTGAGAGCTGGCCGGCCCCCACCTTGAACTAGGAGCGCTGCTTTTCCTGAGAGCTCTTCACATTCACCAGTTGTGTAGTCTTCATCCTAAAGCTCCTGTTTTATGGTTTGACGAAACTGAAGCTCACTGGGCTTCAGTGATGAGATCAAGGTCATATGGTAGCAAAAGCAGGACTTGCATCTCATCATCTGACTTCATACAGGAAAGTTGGCTCCCTGATTCATTCTTACTTTTACCAAGATAAAAAGGAAGCACCTCCTTTTAGGGTAGTTCCTTTTCCCTTGAAAAATGTTGGGAGTAAAGTCAAGAGACATGTCTGTTTTGGCCATACTATTCCAAATCATGAGCATAAGAGTGACAGTAGCTGGCTTTTACTGAACACTCAGAGCCAGGTACCATCCTATAACCTATAATTCACTCAACTCTTCCCAACATCAGTTTGAACCTGGGCCAGTTCCCCAAATGACCACAAGATGGCAGTCAGTAATAAGCTTTTGCTTAGAGCTGTTGGCCCCTCAACCAAATCCTCTAAGGGTGGCTGTTCAGGATTTACGGAGCTTCCAGCTGATGACTGGGAGCTAATGTGTGTGCCTCTGCCCCAGTCTCACAAGGCATGCCTTGTCTGATTGTGACTTGCTAGTACCGGAAACACAAAATATAAAACATGGGCCAACTTCTGGATTCTGATTCCCCATCCCGGTTGAGGTCGCTAGGGTGGGAGGTGAACCTGGGCAACATTGGGGAACTGGAGACCTGTGTGTTGAAGAAGCGTAGGGAGAAGCAGAGTTCCAGGAATCAGCTCAACTGAGAGTTACTTTAGTTAAGAAAGTTTAAGACACTCAAACGCAAGGTTGTGCTATCCTCTATACCAAGACTCCTCAAAAGCATGGTTGCCTCTGCCTTCACTTCCTGGTCTCCTGTGCTTTCTAGAACCCATCCAGTTAGGTTTCTCCCCCACCGCCCCACTGGGACTGCTCTTTTCAAGGCGATATCCACACTGCTCAAGCCAGTGGTCAGTTCTCCACCTTTGCTGACCTGTCCTGCAGTGGCTTTTGACTGCTGATCCCTCTCTCCTGCCAACAGGTTTCTCTGGCGGCTCCTCTGCCTCCATCTCCATCCCTGCCCTGCCCTGCCGCACTGGCTCCTTCTCCTCAGTCTCCTTTGCTGGCCTCTCCTCATCTTCCCGACCTCCAAACACTGGAGTGCCCCCGGCTCAGTCCTTGGTCTCGTTCTCTGTCTCACTCGCTCCCAGCTCACCTGGTCCAGACCCATCACTGATAAGCCCCATATACATCTTCAGCCTGGACCTCTCCCCTAAACCCTGGCTTTGTTTATGTAGTGGCTTTCTGGATGTGGCAGCCAGCTCTAACATGGTTCCCAGAGATCCCTGCCAACTGATATTCACATTCATCACCTCTTCTTAGATGTGGGCGGGACCCAGTGATCCTCTTCTAGCAAAGAGAACATAGCAAAAGCGATGGGGTGTCCTTTCCAAGGTTAGGTTACAGAAAGATGATTACATCAGTGCTGCCCGCTCCCTGAGGGAAGCTGGCTGTCATGTTGAGAGTATCTTTATGGAAAGGCTCACACTGCCAGGAGCAGAGGTCGCCAGCCAAGAGCCTATGAGGAACAGAATCCTACCAACAGCCCCATGAGGGAGCTTGGAAGCAGATCCTCCCCTACACAACTCTTTTTTTTTTTTTTTAAATACAATATGGGGGTCTCCCTATATTGCCCAGGCTGGTCTTGAACTCCTGGCCTCAGGCAATCCTCCCACCTTGGCTTTCCAGAGTGCTGAGATTATAGACATGAGCCAGCATACCCAGTCAGGATACGTTTTGGGGAGGCTACTGTCGTAGAGACATTTTTGTAGAGATGTGACATGTACTAGTTATCAAATTACCCCAAAATTAGCTGCTTAAGACAGCACATTTATTCTGTCTTAGTTTCTGCGGACAGGAGTCCAGACACAGCTTGCCTGGTTCTCTGACTCAGATTCTTTCAGGGTCTCACTCAGGCTGTCTCTACTTTTATTTGCTTTTTAGAGATAGGGTTGCACTCTGTCACCCAGGCTGGAGTGCAGTGGTGCAATCATAGCTCACTGCAGCCTTGAACTTCTGGGCTCAAGTGATCCTCCCACCTCAGCCTCCTGAGTAGCTGGGAATACAGGTGTGCCACCACATCCAACTAATGTAAAAACAATTGTTTTTGGTCGGGCGCGGTGGCTCCCGCCTGTAATCCCAGCACTTTGGGAGGCTGAGGCGGGTGGATAACGAGGTCAGGAGATCGAGACCATCCTGGCTAACATGG